GGGGGGGGGGGGGGGGGGGACCATGGTGGAGGACTGGCGATACCAGGGGTCAAAGATAGATGAGCTAATTTGGTTTTGGGAGACCATCGCAGTACAACTATCAGAGATTTTGATGGAAGGTGCTGCCGTTGGTAAGGCTGTCACAACTGTTGGACCAGTCTAAAAGATTCTGGACTGGCGAGAAGACTCGGAGTGATCGATGCTGGCAAACCATCGACGCTAACATGAGTGGCCGACCAGTCAGCGGCGCCAGCTGCACGAGCCGTCACACGGCACACCGTGGGCGCTTAAGGTTATTTTTATCGAGCTGGCCATTGGGTGCCATTCCCCCGGATCTAGGGTCAATTGGCAATGACTGGTCCTCGTGTGTTGCGGCCCGGGAGATTTACTATTTCTGGGAGTCCCAAAATAGAGCAAAGAGGGGTGATGCAGACAGGCTGTCACCTCGCCGGCTTCCCCTCTTTTTGTCTGACAGCTGGGCTGATCCAAGATTTATTATCACCCATTTTCCCCATCTTTTCTCAACCACAATTTCCAGTAATTGGAGTTGACGGCTTCGACTATCACTCTTGCTCTTTTCTTATCAAACATTACTGTGATCGGAGCTTACCATGAGTGTCATGCGTTTGCCTCGCCCAACTGGCGTGTATGTGCCAAACTCTCCCACCCGGAGTCTCACCAGCGAAATGATTTCCTCTCCATTATCCCCCGAGTTCAACTTTGACTCGGAGACCCTCACTCCGTCCATCATCCCGGCCCTGGAATATGTCTCCGCCAAGCTGGAGCAGCGCATGATGCACGTCACGCTCCTGGTCGGCCGTGGGAAGCCCTACCCGACCGGCCAACCCTCCGATCTCATCGTCATCCCCATCACCCCGCTCGATGAGACGGCCTGGCGAATCGTCTTTCGCACCGTGGCCAAGGGAGCGAGCAAGTTCTCCCTCGGCCCCAGCTGGACCGATGCCTTGAACCGGAGTCAGCACGAGCGGCAGGCCCACGACTACCTGATTCAGCAGTCGATCATGCAGAATGAGGTGATTTTCAGTCGGGAGGGCCTGACCCTGCTGAATGTGGACCGCATCTACACCCTCAAACGCCGACTCTGCATCCTCTCCCACCGGGGAGTCCCACCGGAAGACTCCTACATTACATCCTGTGCACAACTCCTCCAACGGACCATCAAAGACTTCCACGGCCGTCCCTTCAGCCGGGCCTTCTTCCACCGCGTCTATGAGCAGCTGAACGTGCCTGACGAGCTCCTCACCCAGGTGGCGAACTCCTTCCGCAAGCAATACAAGCAGGAAGGGATCATCATGCCCCCGCGGCCCAAGGCCGATCTTGCTCGCAAATCCCCTCTCCGCGCCATCCGGGCAGCCCGTCGCCAGAATCCCCCGCCGACGAGGTATAACCTGCCGACCAAACGAGGTCCCAAGACGCCACTGTCGGCATCCGATGTGACGCCGATCACTCGGAATGAATGGAACATGCTGGTCCGAACGGACTTTCCTTGTGGCAAGGCGACCGTTACCAAGTGGACCCCATCGCCAACGGTTCTGGCGGCCGCGTGAACTAGCGATTGATGCTTGGCGTGATGTCAGGCAGACTTGATATAGAGGCCTCCCTCTGGCCTGAAACATGCACAATGAGGCAGCTCCTCAAGAGGAATCCCAAACGCACAGGGTAAGGTTGTCTAACCTGAGTCGAGTAAGAGACGGCATGAGCTAACCGACTGTGCAGGCCGTTCCACTTACACCTGCCGGTGTGGAGCTATCCGAGCGATGTCGGCAAACCGGCCAACTAGCTGCAGGGACCGCTCGCAACGCAGTGGTTCAATCGGGACCATCCGCGGGATCGAAATGTTTTGCATTTTGCAATGTTGACCGCAAGCGGAGTCATTCAACCGTGTTCCATCGAGGGAATACCCGGAAGGAAGGATCGAACAAGTGAAGAAGAATATGTGTATGATAGATATGTATGAAGTGAATGAACTACTACACACACACCGTGATAGACACTGCAACGTAGGAGGGTGGGAGAGAAGCGGGGAGGGGCGGCGACCTCCGCGGGCAGATGCGGGCGGGGTCACGTGGATTGCAGTTGGCAGCGTTGCAACGGCAGACTGTCGATACTACTATGTATGTAGGAGACACCCGGGCCTCCCCGATGTGCAGCAGTTGAAGAACCAACTCGCAAGGGACCGGCGGGGACAACAAACCGATCAGCTCCACTGCCGCCCCTCGACAAACCGGCTTGGATAGTTAATCCCTTGACGCTGGTCGTCTGTTCGCCAGGTCGGATCCACCGCTCGGTTGGCATTGATAATTTGACCGTCTAAATTTCTTCGAGTTATCACCGGCCTGCCTACCTTATCACGGCTTCCCCTCCACGGCCCCGAAAAAGTTGACGTTCCCCACGGCACCCCCCGACCGAGGATAAATCAGCCCGGCAGCCACATTCCAACCAACTGGACCTTTCCTCTAAATCGAGCACAATTGAAGACTCTGTGGCTGCATCCTCAACCATGCGGGACTCGACCTCTCCCACCCCCGCTCCGGACCATGCATCCGAGGACAACCACCAGACCCAGGCGGATAGCAAATGGAAATTCAAGTCGCTCTTGAAGCAGGCGGAACGATCGCATCGTCGATTGCCGGGCATCAGAAAGGTCCCTCTGCCGGCGATCGCCATTATCCTCTTCATTGCGTTTCTGAATGTGGTGGTGTGGGTGGCCGCTGCAATTGTGTTGGTATGCATTTCTAGTCACTCGGCCAGACATGGTAAATTCAGGCATGACTAACTGGTTCCAGCGTTATCACCCGTATGTCATAGAGATTGTGCAGCTAAGACGCTCTAGCTAATGTTTACAGAGCCTTGGTGTCCAATGCCGTGCTGTCCTATACTCTCGGATTGAGACATGCTTTTGATGCGGATCATATCTCGGTAAGTTCGCCATCCACCTTGGGGGTCGGTCTAATCGTGTTCGGCAGGCCATCGATCTGATGACCAGAAGATTACTGGCCACCGGCCAAAAGCCCGTCACGGTCGGAACCTTTTTCTCTCTCGGTCATTCAACGTGAGTCCCCTCTATGAGACTTATTCTGGTGCTAATCCGTGCAGCATCGTGATAATCACGTCCATTGTGGTGGCAGCCACTGCGGCGGCCATCTCCTCGCGGTTTGACAGTTTCAGCACCATTGGGGGGATCATCGGCACCTCCGTCAGCGCGGCTTTTTTGATCCTCCTGGGCCTGATGAATGCCTACATCTTATATAAACTGTACAAACAGCTCCAGAAGGTCATCGATCTCCCCGAAGGACAAGAAGATGAGATCTGGAAGATCGAAGGCGGTGGCCTGCTGTTTTCGGTGCTGAAGCGCATGTTCAAACTGATTGATCGGTACATCATCCACAATATGTCCAACATAGTCGCTAACTGAAGTCTCAGGCCTTGGAAAATGTACCCCCTTGGCATCCTATTTGGCCTTGGCTTTGACACATCCTCGGAAATTGCGCTTCTTGGTATCTCGTCTGTCGAGGCTGCCAAAGGCACTAACTTTTGGGTTATCTTGATTTTCCCCGCACTATTCACCGGTAAGTTGCCAGTTGACCAATGTGAATTATCTTGCTAATCGTGTGCAGCTGGAATGTGTCTCCTCGATACCACCGACGGAGCCTTGATGCTTTCTCTTTACGTCCAGCCGTCGGCCAACTTTCTCCCCGCAAAGAGTGATGATGCGTCAACAGCACCCCTGATGGATGACGGTCAAGAAGTTGAGCCATCCAAGAACCACCGGGACCCGGTGGCGTTCTTATACTACTCCATTGTCTTGACGTGTCTCACGGTGATGGTGGCCATTGTCATTGGCGTGATCCAGCTGCTCACTCTCGTTCTGAACGTTGCGAACCCCACGGGCAAATTCTGGGATGGCGTACAGGTGGCAGGCGACTACTATGATGCCATTGGCGGCGGAATTTGCGGCTGCTTTATCATCATTGGTGGCCTCAGTGTGGTGGTGTACAAGCCGTGGAGAAGATGGATTGCTCGGAGACACGGCAAAACGATTGTGACGGATGTAGAAGGCTACCGGGACGAACCTGCTGCCACCCGACCAGACACACCAATTCTCGATGAAGGGAGAGACGGTACCCCTTCGGTCAGCTATGGAGCTGCCGGCAAGGGAGCCACGTCGGTTACAGTGGAACCGGTGGGTGGCCCTGCACGGTGAGCAGCAAGGAGTTACTATCCAGGCAGCTTGGGGAGCTAATGAGATATGAGTATGCATACAAGCATATACGAGGATATGCCGGTGGATCTATGAGGCTATGTTTGATGATATAGAAAAGTTTTGTTTTTCCTTTGTGATGATGATGCCTTCGTATCGAGGCGCCGGTGGGGCTGCCCCGCAATCTGTGTATGCCTCAGGCAGTAACAGGAACGCGATTGACGTCAGCCATCGCGAGTCCGTTTCTTTCTTTTCTTCACAGCCACGCAGTCCTCAGCCAACCACAATGGTTTCATCGCAATGACGAAATCTGATACCAATGTGTCCCCTCGTGCAGGATGCCTACAGCCGTTGTCTGTCAGCCCGTCAATCTACCACTCTGCGCACGATCCTGTCAATCGTCAGCCACGGGAATAGCCAGCGCTGGCAAACTGGACGCATTCATGTCGAACCCAGCATTGTGCATACCGACACCTATATACTGTTATAATCTAAAGTGACGTTGACCAAGCACCGGTATCGTGTCCTTTAACACCTTAAAGGTTTCAGTTGCTTTATAGATACCCAGATTTGTCCACACAAAGGAATGGATATAGCAGGCCATGTCGGAAGCTCCAGGCCCTTCTACAGAAGAAGCAGGGCGACCCAGTCCCAGCTTCTCATCATGTCCGCCTATCTTTGTTCTCCCAACTCATCTCAGTCTAGAGTTGCTACACGAGACAGAAGCGAATCTCATCAAACGAGACGCACGTCTGACCTACGATATCTCCGAAGCGAGGCTGGTCCTCGGAAAAATCGGCCAAGAGAAGCGCGCAGCGTTGGAGTTGCGCTCTCGTGGACTCTGGACGGAACCAATCAGTAATCCTGAACCCCCCAGGAAGCGACGTCGTGTCGTGCGTGAACCAGAAAAGCCTGCGGGACAGGCAGACATCGACCTCAGCACCGAGACCGAAGATGAAGAAGATGGCATGAAAAGTCGACATGATCCTTCACGGCATCTCAATCGACCCAAATCACGCTCTCCGGCCGAGTCCACCTTCAACCCATCAGAAGCTTCGTCTGTCTCATCTACCATCGAGCAACCAGACATCATCAAGGTCGTCAAACTAGACTGGCTGGACCAATGCCTCAAGGCCCAAGAACTCCTCCCCATCGACCCATATATAATCTATATCGCCCGCCAGGTTCCACGCCCGGAACCTCCCAAAACAACCATCATATCCAGCGACATCATCCAGCGAGCCAAGCAAGATGCCGCATTACGACCACCTACTCCAACCCGCCATCACCCCCGGACGCACGACCCTGCTCGCAATCCCCCCAAACTCTACCGAACCACCACCTCCGAGAACGACGACACCGTCCCCATCCCGCCAGCCCCCGACTGGGTGACGAACCACGTCCTCTACGCTTGTCTCCGCTCCGCCCCCCTCCACCCCCCTAACGAAGCCTTCATCAACCAGCTCATCAAGATCCGACAAATTCGCGAGCTCACTCTCGACGAGATCGGCGTCCGCGCCTACAGCACCTCCATCGCGGCCATCGCCGCCTACCCCTACGAATTCCGCCGGCCCTCGGAAATCCTCGCCCTCCCCGGCTGCGACACCAAAATCGCCAACCTCTTCCACGAATACCAACAAAGCCCCACCGGCACCCTCTCCGCCGCCGCGCTCCTCGACACCGACCCCACCCTCCACATCCTCCACACCTTCTACAACATCTGGGGCGTGGGCGCCAAAACCGCCCGCGACTTCCACTACGCCCGCCACTGGACCTCCCTCGACGACATCATCGAACACGGCTGGTCCAGCCTCACCCGCGTCCAACAAATCGGTCTCAAATACTACGACGAATTCCTCGCCGGCATCCCCCGTCCCGAAGTCCAACACATCGCCCACATCGTCACCCACCACGCCAACCTCGCCCGTCCCCCTCCCAACCCCAACAACCCCATCCAATGCATCATCACCGGCGGCTACCGTCGCGGCAAGACCCTCTGCGGCGACGTCGACCTCATCCTCACGCACCCGGACGAAACCATCACCAAAACCCTCATCATCGACGTCGTCGCCGCCCTCGAATCCGCCGGTTGGATCACTCACACCCTCGCCCTCCACCTCATCACCTCCCACCGGGACCAACAAACCCTCCCCTACCGCGCCGCCACCTCCACCTCCTCCTCCACCGGCGATAACTCAACGCCCAAAAACTTCGACACCCTCGACAAAGCCCTCGTCGTCTGGCAAGACCCGCACTTCACTGACCCTGACCCTGACCCCACCTCCTCCCCCCCCCACCACCACCATAACCACAACCCGAACCCCCACCGCCGCGTCGACATCATCATCTCCCCCTGGCGCACCATCGGCTGTGCCGTGCTCGGTTGGTCAGGCGATAAGACCTTTGAAAGGGATCTGCGCCGGTACGTGAAGAAGACGCACGGATGGAAGTTCGATTCGAGTGGCGTCCGGGATCGGAATTCGGGAGGGAGGGTCATTGATTTGGAAGGGGGAGGAAGGACGTGGGAGGAGCGGGAGAGGTTGGTGATGGAGGGGTTGGGGG